TGTGTCCCATCCTTTTTCTGAGGGGTTTGTTAGCCTTGTTGCTTTGGAAATATGGCTCTTCCATGGGCAGAAAAGGTGATAGTATTTTATATCACTCAGCTTTTTCTTCTTTTCTTTTTGACTATTTTTGATAGAGTGAGGGTAACATTCTACGTGGCTCTCTATATTCTGAGTGGAAGCAAAAATCCTAGTACCATTTATTTTGAACAAATCTGGCTTCCCCCCTCTGCTCTCAGGCCTTGCCCAGTCTGGTACCAAAGCACAAGAATAAGAGTCCCCCTACTTTGCTACCTCCGAGGAATTCTGTTTCCTTTACGCTTATTAATGTTATGAAGCAACGTGGAGGGCATCCTAGTTAAGTAGGAAAGGAACAGGAAAATTAGGGCATTGTTTCTTCTTATGTGGTGACTGATATTTGACAGACGAGGTCTCTTAGTATGGGTGGGATTACATTTTCACTCACTGATGGGCACAGAGCTCTGTTGAGGCAAGCTCAGGCCTCAGGTCAGGGGTGGTGTCTGTGGAACCTTTCTGCCTAGCTCTTCTCAGTGATTTCTGCCTCCCCCTGCCCCGCCCCGCCCCCAGTTATCTAGCCTCAGCACTTTCTAGCAGCACAAAAACTTGTTGAAGAGCTGGATTTTTTTTTTTAAGTTGAATTATTTTTTTTTAAACACAGTGTCTAATCCATGGGAGGGAAGATAGTTTCAATTTTCCTGGAAAGTCACCCTTCTCACATACGTGGCCTGAATAACATACTTTGCCTTTGCCGAAGAAAAGAAAACCAATAAGAAGTTACATTTTCATATAAACAACACAAACATTTCATGTCCTATAACTATTCTCCTACCGTCTTTATTTTCAGTTAAGGTTTTTGCACCTGGGAAAGTAAATTACATTCGAGGTCTCACCCCTTATTTAGGGAGGAAAATAATAATCCTTTCTATTCTTGGCTAGAAATAGAGTTTCTAGGACAATAATTTTTATGTGTAAAAGCACTTTACTTAGGAGCATTCAGTGGAACACTGTTTTATGATCTTTGCTGGTTTCTCCAAATGTGGTAGAAGTGTCTTTTTCATGTCTTCTGATTTTTCCTCCTTCAACAATGTTTAGGTCCTTTCTAGTGAGATTATTCAATTAGAAAAACACTACAGAAGTGTGTGTGTGTGTGGGGGGGGGGTTGTTCCTCTGTCCCATCTCTGCACATTTCTCTTTTCTTGCTTCCTAAAGAGAAGACTTCCATTAGAGTTACTGGGGTGTCCTGTCTATATTAGTTATCAGGGTCCAGTCGTAAAAAAAATTTTTTTCTCTCTCTCTGACCCTCTCCCACGTGGAAGCAAAGAGGAAATAGCCTTGGATGGTCTCTCAGGGCAACTGCCAACGGAGCTCCGGCAGGGACGGTTTGCCTCCAGCCCAAGAAAGAACGTTCCCTCTGGAGGCCTGGGCTGCGGGCGCCCATTCCCTGACGTCCACTCCCGCGGGCCGGTCCGTTGGAGCAGGCGGAGCAGGCGCCCGGCCAAGGGGAGCAACAAGCCACCCAGCATGCAGTCGCTCGCCCAGCCCCAGTCCCAGCGGGAGCGCCCCAGCCTCAGCCGGAGCCCTCAGGCCGTGCAGGGAGCCCCCGTGCAAGAGGAGCGCCAAGCCCCGCAGTCAGAGGTCCCGCAGGCTGAGCCTGCAGACAGCTCAGCGTTCATGGGAAGCGCCTGGAAAATGGGTGTTCTTACAGATAGCGTGATCAGGTTTAAAAAACCGAAAAGGAAAAAGGCTAGGGCCATAGCCCCCCTGACCAAGAAGCCGGAAGAACAGAATGAAACTCTGAAGGAGCAGCGCGGCTTGTGCTGTATGGTTATTCCCAGTTGTCAGCGTTTTAATAACATCCACTGCTTCCTGATTTTCTTCTACATGCTGGTGGTCTCTCAGGG